TTGGTTTCCCTTCCCCTGTGGCCCTTTGCCTTTGTCTGTGCTGAGTTTTGCTGTGTGGATTTCAGATCCAACCTCCAATGTCTCCAGGCCATTTGGATTAGGGATGTAACAGTGTAGTTGATTAACTGATTAACCAATAAGCAAAAGCGTATAGGTTAATGCTATAGACTACATGCATTTCCCTCCCCCGATCCTTGTCAGTACATTTTTTTAGCAGGCTGGCCAGCAGCTCAGCTCAGTTCTGGCTTGCACCAGGTCCAGAACCTACTCCTGCTGCAGCTCTGCTTTTAAAGTGTATTAGGAGACAGGCAGGAAGCCCGGCTCAGGTCCAGGTCCAGGAGCTTAGACCCCCCTTAGACAGGGGCTGCTGCCACCTTGTTCTGTTGCCTCTTTATCAGAGGCAGCAGCACTGGGCAACAGGCAGTCAGTCCAGAAGGGGAGCTGGTTTTCAAACTGGCTCCCCTCTTGGACTAGCTCTCACCTGACACCCTGCACTGCTGCCTCTATGACAGCAGCTGCTGGTGCCCCCCCAGGGACTATAGAATAGTGAGTAACTGATAAGAATTCATAAGGTTACTTAACTATTTAATTAACCGATATTTAACATCCCTAATTTGGATCTTGAGCCCATTCTGCACAGAGCGCCCTGCCCTGCCCTGCCCTGCCCAGCCCGCCCAATTTTATAACCAGCCTCTGCAATGAGCTACTCAGTGAAAACAGCAGCTGGTCCAAACTCTTCCAGGACCCATAGCCTCAACCAGCTTCATTCTGGCCCCGTTTCTTTAGTTGGCTTCTGAGACTGTCTTGCAGGGCTGCATCAAAAGCTGGGCTTAGTTTGGGATCTAGCGCATCAGCCACTTGCTCCTATCCACCAGGCAGGGCACCCCCAGAGATGGAAATGACACTCATGTGGCAAGACTGGGGTGTGACTGCACCGCATCACCCCACCGGTGTCTCCAGGAATGGGGGGTAGGCTGCCATCCCCTGTGTCCTCTGGGTTCCCCTCTCTATGGCTGGTTGGTCCATTTGCCCCCTTTCTGTCCTTGCTGCCTTCCTGGCTAGAGAAAAGCTCCCAGGTCTGCAATGGCTTTGGCTAGTCCATGAAGTGGGGATTGTAGGGATTTTATTGCCCTTGCTATGTTACATGTGATTTCTATTGTCTTGTAGTAACCCTGGGCACTGCACTAACTCCTAGATGGTGATGGGAATTTCGGTGTGACATTGTCAGGTTGGTTACTTGCTCATGGGATGAACTCCATTTTGGGTGATACCTTCACACAACAAGAACAATGCATTTCCCTCCACATAGGCAAGGGCATAAAAAGGGCCCTAGAGTAGGGTGCCTTAATTTGTTTTCATTCCAGCTCATCACTTCAGAAGCAGCTTTTCTGTTAAATGGGATGGGAAGGGCCCACCCTGACAAAGGATGTATTCCAGAGACTTAAGCTAGCAGTTTGTTCCATCTCTGCTGAGAGCCTGCACCAGGAACTTTGTGATTGGGGTAGGTAACATCATTTCTTTAACAATTCTACTCTCAACCTTTTCTTCTTTCGCTAATAAACCTTTAGATGTTAGAGTCTAAAGGACTGGCCCAGCACACTCTTTTGGGTAGGATCTGGGTTATAAATTCACCTGGGAATGTGGCTGGTCCTTTGGGGCTGGGAGACCCAGTTTGAAGTTGGTGAGATTGGTTTTCATAACCTCTCTCCTGGGTAGGGAGTGGTGCTGGCTGTGGCACAGGTAAAGCTGGAGTGTCTGGCTCTAAGGGGGTTGCTTGTGTGAGTTCTTGCTGGCCAGTACGGCAAACAGAAGTGCCCTGTGTGACTGGTTTGGGGCCATATAGTGAAGGACCCCAAATCTGTCTCTAAGCAATTTGCTCTGATTTCACCCTCTCTGTGGGGTCCCCAGAACCCATCATATTTCAGTGGGTTTTCTTGGGAATCATGGGGCACTGCAAGCACAGATCTGTGAGTCTGCATCCCCTTGGGAACAGTGGGGAGATGGCCTAGAACAGTGTTTCTTAAGCTTTTTAAGACCGAGGAACTCCAAATAATTTTTTTTATGAAGAACTTAAAGGGCAGCTTTGTTGAACTCTGTTGTTCTCCGTGGCACACCTCTGACCGCCTTGCAGCACATCGGTGTTCCCCAGAACACAGTTTAAAAAACACTGGCCTAGAACCATCTCCTTAAGAAGGACACTTTTGAGCTGTGTAAGGAGAGGGCTGTGAATTGGGAAGTCCCCCAAAGCCCAGCTAATTGTCCAGCTGGAAGAGAATGATCCTCCCCAGAGCTGGTTCCTGTGGGGCACCAGAGCTGTGCATTGACCAAGCCAGTTCCAGCCAGGAGTGGCATGACTAGCTGCAGCAGGACAGAGGAGTTGGTTCACAGGTGTGGCTGTGGCATTGCGGAGGACAGTGGAGGACACAGCCCTGCCTGGGGAGGGCTCAGGCATTGTCTGAGCATTGCAGGACTCTGACAATGAGTGGCAACCACTTGTCCCTAGAGCAGGGCCTGGAGCAGCTCCTGACAGGCCCTAGGTCCCATTGAACCATTGGACTTTGCAGCCGGTAGCTGAAATGGGGCAGCCCTGCTTTCGGCACCATATCTCTGCCCTGCTGGGTCAGTCCAAAGATCCAGCCATCCAGGGACCAGCAACTCTGCAGCCAGCCCCCCGATATCCACAGGCAGAGAGGTGTAGGGATGCCTGGAGCACAGACCTGTGGCCTGAACTATCTTGTCTGGTAGCCACTGGGAGGGGCAGGGAGATGACCCCCTGGTGGGTATGTTCCCTGGGACCGGGGCTGACTCCTTGCTGGAATCCATCCCCCTGTGACCAGCTCACCCTTGCCCAGCAGGCAGAGATCAGAGAGGTGCTGTGCTCCCACCAGCAGCTGTTCTCCAACAAGCCCGGTCTCATCAACCTGGCTGTCCACTGGATAGAGATGGACACCCACCCCCCTGTGCACTGCTCCTCATTCAGAACTATGGGGAAGTTGGCCCAGGACCTCGCAAGAGTGGTCCAGGTTATGCTGGCGCTAGGGGTGATCCAACCATCCTCCAGCCCCTGGGCCTCTCCTGTGGTGCTGGTTCCCAAGAAGGACAGGTTGATCCAGTTCTGTGTGGACTATCGGAAGCTCAATACCACTACCATGTCCGATGCCTCCCCATGCCTAGGCCTGATGAGCCCCTGGAAAAGCTGGGAGGAGTTTGCTACCTCACTACCATGGACCTCATTAAGGGCTATTGGAAGGTGCTGCTGGACCCCCCAAGGCCTGGCTGAAATCTGCGTTTATCACCCCAGTGGGGCTCTATTAGTTCCTGGTCCTGCCTTTTGGCTATGGGGAGGGAGCATCTGCCACCTTCCAGAGCTTGGGGACCAGCTGCTGTGGGGGATGGAGGGCTTTGCCCTGGCTTATACGGAGGATATTTGCATCTTTAGCCAGACTTGAGAGGGCCATGTGTCCAAGGTCAGCCAAGTGCTGGATCAGCTGCAGGGGGCCGGGATGACTGTAAAGGCTGGGAAGTGCAGGGTGGGGATGGCCGAGGTGTCTTACCTGAGCCATAAGATGGGGAACGGCTGCTTAAAGCTAGAGCCGGCCAAGGTGATTGGTTGGTTCCCCAGACTAAGCAGGTCCAGGCCTTCGTTGGGATGGTGGGGAACTACTGGAGGTTTGTGCCCCACTTTAGTTCTATGGTCACCCCCATCAGTGAGCTGTGTAGGATGGGCAGGCCAGACAAGGTGGTCTGGACCGAGCAGTGCCAGGGGGCTCTCTGCGCACAGATGAAGACCTTGGTCCAGGCCCCATTGTTGGAAAACCCAGACTTTGACAAGTCCAAGTTCACCCAGCCCCAGAGCCCGGGCTGGGCGCGGTGCTGATGCAAACTGGCCCTAGTGGGGAGAAGCGCCCCACTGTGCACTTGACAAGATGCTGCTGCCCTGGGAGCAGCGTTCCGCGGCCAGAGAAGCAACGCCAGGCCCCGGGCTGGGCCCTTCCAATGCTGCAGCCCTGTCTATTTGGGCGGAGATTCCCGGTGTGCGCTGACCTCACCCCCTGACCTGGCTGCACCAGGTGAAAGGGGCCAACGCCGAGCTGGGGCCTGCTCCTGCAGGATTACGACATGGAGGTGAGTCCATGTGAAGGGGAGTGCTAATGTCACAGCTGATGCTTTACTCTGGGGCAGGGTCCTGCACTTCTCCAGGCCAAGTGAACCTGCTCAGTTCAGACTGGAAGGGGGAGAATTGTGATGAAGTGGGGATTGTATTCACTCTGTTTGCTTTGTTATGTTGCATGTGATTTCTATTGTCCTGTAGTAACCCTGAGTGTGTGTGTGCCTCAGTTTCCCTTGGGACTGTACTAATAGCGAGATGGTGGTGGGAATTTGGGTGTGGCAGCCTTCTCCATGTTCACAATGTCGGATGCCTTCGGTAACCTTAGCCTGGAAAGGTAGTGTGAGTGGCTCTTGCTGGCTTAGGGTGCAGAGATGGGGGGCAGGACCCTTAGTTCAGAGTCCCCTCCCCAGGATGGACGATGCTGGCTGCTTCTGGTTCCTCTGCTGACAAGTCTGTTCTATACTGTCCCTGTCATCTGATAAATCTTCTTTTCTACCTGCCGGCTGAAAGTCACATCTGGCTGCAGATGGGGGTGCAAGGCCTGGGACTCCCTCCTACTGCAGTGACACCCCCTTTTGCCTACCTTCCCTGGCCCGGGCTGGGGGTCACTATGTCAGTGCCAATGTCTGATTTTATCCTGACTCTCCTGTGCGGTTCTTTTGTCTCCATCCCAGCAATGCGCCCGTCTTCGCACTGGAGGTGGGATTTTGGGTCCTAATGTTTGTCCTGTATTGGCTCTGTCCTCCCTTCCCAGAAGCTGGGTCTGTCCTGAAGAAAGTCCAGTCTTCACTCTCCTTTCTCCCAGGGCAGCACCATTCCCTGTAAGCTGGGCACTTGTGCAGCTGCTCAGGAGAGATTCCACTGCTGCCCAGCAGATTAGTACAGTGTCCACAGCCAGCAGCCTGTGTTTCTACTGGTGGTGCACATCTGCACATGTATTGGTGCACAAAACAAAATTTATTCTGTACAGCTGTGTCTACACTGGCCCCTTCTTCGGAAGAGGCATGCTAATTTCTAACTTTGGAATAGGGAAATCCGCGGGGGATTTAAATATCCCCCGCGGGATTTAAATAAACATGGCACAGTGTCCACAGCCAGCAGCCTGTGTTTCTACTGGTGGTGCACATCTGCACATGTATTGGTGCACAAAACAAAATTTATTCTGTACAGCTGTGTCTACACTGGCCCCTTCTTCGGAAGAGGCATGCTAATTTCTAACTTTGGAATAGGGAAATCCGCGGGGGATTTAAATATCCCCCGCGGGATTTAAATAAACATGGCCGCCGCTTTTTTTCCGGCTTGGGGAAAAGCCGGAAAAGAGTGTCCAGACTGGCGCGATCCTCCAGGGGCGTGAGCGAAGGAGCACCACTTTGGCGGTCTGGAGAACGGACGTCATGCTGGGTTTGCTGCGCATGCGTGGCCAAAACTGGCAGGTCTTAGGACCCCACGGAAAGAGGTAGCAGGGATGCAGCAATGTCACCCGGCCGCCCCATCAAGCTATTATTATTTTGGAACTCTCCTACCAGAATCTAGATTTTTCCATCTTTTTATGAACACAGAATGACAGATTTTGAACTTGTCGCTTGTAGCAACTTGTTTTAATACTCTACCTCTACATTTAGAACTACATTAATTATACAAACGTCAGAAGCTTATTGACTGTGTGCCCCATCCCATGCTATGCCTCTGCCTCCCTGCCCCCCCGAAGATGGTGCTTGGGAGGGGAGGGGAGAGAAACTGGCTTTTAAGCCAGCTCTCCCCAGCACCAACTCCTGCTCCCCCCTTGCTAACTCGGTCTGATAGAGGCAGCGGGGCGGTGGGGGAAGGGGAAGTGACGTACTAGGGTACGTCTACACTACAACGGCAGAGGTCCCTGCAGTTCCCTTACGTGGCCATCAGGTGTCAACCCCATTCCACCTGCACCTAGGGACTCACCTCTGCTGGAAGGGTGCCCCCAACAGCTGCAGGGTGAAGCCAATGGTCATGCACACGCCCAGCGCAGCTCCCAGCACCTGGAGCCGACAGCACCCCGAGGGCACCTTCATCCTGCCAGGGCACAGAGAGGCCAATGGAACCCAGGTGTCCTCATGCCCAGCTCCTCTCTAACCCCTAGGCCCAGCTCCCCTCCTAGAGCCAGGGAAAGAACCCAGGAGTCCTGGCTCCCAGCCCCCTGCTCTGTCCCACAAGCCCCCACCTCACTTCTCACCACATCTTCTCTCCTACAAAGCCTGATCGTTGTTGCTTGCTCTTTGTGCCCTGCCTGCCAGAGGTTAGCGTCCGGCGCTGAGGCCCCACCCTGCCCCACAGTGCCCCTTAGTGCAGCTCTAGGATCTGGGGTGGTGTTGAATGAGGACTGCTGGGTTCTTCCTGTTATGTCCAGACATGCTGCTTCCCAAACAGGATGACATCTTCCCACATGGGGCAGACAGACAGACAGAGCTCTCCTTCCCGGCTGCATGGATGTCCTCTCCAATGCAGCCCTGCAGTGCCCCTCACTCCTGACCCGCAGCCCCTGCCAGCCCCACCCTGGGCTTCCCCAGCCTGCTGGTGCCTCTCTATCCCCCCAGCTGCATACTTGACAGTGGTGACCAGTACAGCTGTCACCACCTGATCACTCGGGCTGGAGTGGGGGTTCATGGGCAGAGTGGGCTGGGTGGGCCTTGGGTTCTTTGTTTGTCCTAGGCTGGCCACAGGGTGGCTGTCCGTCCATCTGTCTGATGGAGGGCTGCCCCAGAGGCTGGGAGATGCAGGAGGGGGCGGAAGTGCTGGAGCTAGTGCTGCCTTCCTGCTGCAGGATGGGGTGCAAGTGGGGGCTGTGCTGTAGGGAAGGAGCAGTGCTGGGGGAGCTGTGTTATGGGGAGGAAGCGGTGCTAGGGGCACTGTGCTATGGGGAGGGAGCTGTGCTGAGGGAGCTGTGCTATGGGGAGGAGGCGGTGCTAGGGGCACTGTGCTATGGGGAGGGAGCAGTGCTGGGGGAGCTGTGCTGTAGGGATGGGGCGGTGGTAGGGGTGCTGTACTGTAGGGAGGGGGCGGTGGTAAGGGCACTGTGCTATAGGGAGGGGGCTGTGGTAGGGGTGCTGTTCTGTAGGGACAGGGATAGAGCTGCTCCACCCTAGAATTAACTGCATTTGACCCCCAGCGTGGGGCCCAGGCTTAGTGTAAGGTGAGCAAGGCTGTTGCCTTGCACCTCATTGATCAGTGTTTGGACTGCTGCTTGCTGCCCAGGCTGGGAGCTACCTGGACACGCAGAACAGCCAACCACTGTGTGTCTCCTTATGCTGAGCCTGCCCTACGTGTGGGCCCCATGGTGTTTGTAGGGGCACGCTGGGGGATCCATGGTGCTGCCGAGAGCTGCTCCTGGGGAGAGTGGGGCCCAGCAGCGGAGCCAGGGCTGCTGTTGGCTGCTGTGGGCTGGGGTTCGGCCAGATGGCTCTAACCACAGATCTGGGCCCCACCCTCTCCCATCTGCATCCCATTAGAGTAACCATAGCCCTCCTCCCTGCAGTCAGACAGACAGGCCCCAGGCCCAGACCAGGGCAGGGTGTGGGGTGGGGAGATGGGAGGCAGGATGTGGGGTTAGGGGTGGTGTGGGGAAATAGGGGGCAGGATGTGGGTTAGAGGAGGCGTGGGAAGATGGGGGGAAGATTGTGGGGCTGAGAGCTATTTTCCACCACCCCCTCTGTTCCTCAGCTCCCCTGCCACCCCCCCAGCCCACGTTTCCACTTGTGTCTCTTGTGTCTTGTTGGCAGAGTTGGTGGGGGCAGAGGTGGCACATGGCTGGGGGGGGACTTGGGGGCTGGGCCCCTTCCCCATAGCCCTTATGGGCTCCGTCCTGCCACAAAGGGAGCTTTGAAGCCCCCCCCCCCCCCCCACCAGTGCCGTGCGGCGT